TAAAAAAAAAAAAAAAGAGAAAATTACAAATTGCGGCGGTTCCACACACACACACACACACACACACACACCTTGCTCCTTTCCACAACTCATTTTCTTGATCTGTTTCTTGAGCGATGTGTGTGCATGTGTGTATTTCACAGATGTTGTCTGTGTTTAGGAGTGGAAATGCAGCGGAGATGGAGAGATTTGAAGTCTAGTTATTGCCTGCGGGCACTAGGAGCCTGTTTAATAAGCGGGTCTGGAGGCCAGAGGGACATGTCAGTGAAATATTATTACCTGGGTCTTATGAATAGCCTCAGCTATGGGAGGAATCTAATCAGGGCTCTCACCAGAGCCTCATTCTGGCTCCAAACCTTATCTGTTATTAAGTGGAACAACTGCATTCTTATAAATTTTTGAAAGATTGATGAGGACTTGTCAGTTCTAATAAACACCTAAATATTGTAACGGTTCTTTTATTATTTCCTGTATCCAGAAGATGGATGTGTTGCAAAGCAGAGTGTAAAATTATTCACTGTTCTGTAGTGTTAGTGTCTATTCCGGTAAACGGGTCAAAGTGTTTGTAATACAACACAGAAAATATTACTGACCTGGGTCATTTTCTCATTGCCCCTACAGGACTTTTGTTCTCCTGAAGCTCCCTTTCCTCCAGTAAACTCATCTCAGACTTGGCTGGGCGGCTCACGGAGCCCTCTCATCCCCCTGCCCAACTCCACCATCCTAGCCTGGGCCTCCAACACCAGCTACTACACGCCTTGGCCTCCTCTCAGTGCGCTGCGACTTTTGGCTTCGCTGCAAGGCCAGTCTTGCGTGAAGGCATGTCAGAGTGCAGGATTAATCTGCGAACCTGCTTTGTACCGTTTCATCAACATTAAGGAGGCCTTCAGCGCGTAAGACGTTTCTTCATTTGTCAAATGACTGTGCATGTTAAATTGACCCAACACATTTATTGTTATATCATTTGCTCCTATTGACACATGGCTGTTGAAAAATAGCTCTTCATTATAACAAAATATACATTTAACAGGTATTTCTTAATGTAACTGGATTTTAAGGAATGACTTTGGATTAGAGTAAACAGGACCACATATATATTAAACAGTGTTTTTAGACTAAATTAAACTTTGTAAATTCATGCTAATGTTGTTTATCATAACATTGTGCCATCTTTACTGCTGTGAAGATGCTGTAGATTTGTGCTGAAATATCAGTTTTGTACCAGTGTATATATAGGGCACACTGCCCCTCTCTATTAAATGAAGCAACCTAAACTGTGCATCTAACCAAGTGCACTGTCCACACTATTGATTATTTAATGAAATGTAATGTCTTTCCAGGACCATCTTAAGATTGTGATGATGCATCTTGAGCAGTTCATCCTGCAAACAGTAAATTTAACTAACTAAGTTTCCCTCATCATAGTGTCACACCTCATTCCTACATTCAAATCAGGTAGCGGTGCAGAAGGCGACACTGGCTCAGCCTCTGCTGCTCTCCTTTACAACCTTAATAATAGTATTCAATTTATTAGTGGAATAGTCATTGATATCCTCTGGCATTACTGCTATCAGTATTATTAAAACGTATTACTGGGTGAGTAACATTTAATACCCTTTCTAGATCATAAATAAAGAAATAAACAGAACTGTGTCTCCCGTCCTATCTTTGTTTCCAGGCTAAACTTCCAGTGTGAGGGACTGGAGTCGGAGATGAACCACCTTTTCCCAGCCTTCTTAGTAGAACATGCCGAGTGTGGCCTGCAGCAGGACCCGCTGCTGTTCAGCTGCGCTGGCTCTAGCAGCAAATTCCAGCGCCTTTGCCCCTGCAGGGACTATCGTATCGGCCAGGTGGCGCTCTGCAGGGACTGCCTATGACCAGAGGAGGACATGGTAGACTGAGACTTTTCTAATACTTGGAGACACTCTTTGACCAGGTCAGTCTATGGTAAAATGCTGTAATGAACAAAGTGGGTACATCCCAAGTCTCATATATAAGCACTAACATTTCTCAATTGCGACTTTTCTTTGTGTCTTAGTCCCGCGCATGAAAAATGGGAGGCTGAAAAAAGGTAATGAAATGTGAGGAGTCAGGAATTGTGGATGAACAGCTCAGCCTCCTCAATCCTCACTTGACCTGGCAGTTGTTCCGGTCAAGCGAAGACCAAGGAGTGATCATAAGAGACTTGGGATGCACCCGGTGACTCCCCTGTTTTACCTCTGATCTAGGACTGGCTGCAGTGTTAATAACCTCTCAGGGAACTGCATGATACTTTGAATCTGGAGAGTTTAAAACCTCAGTTTAAAGCTTTACATGGGTGCACACTCTCTACAGAAGTCATGGTGACGTGTCATTTGATGGTTAAGTTAGATTAGTAAAGAAACCACAAACAATCAAAAGAAAAGCTTTGATTTAAAAAAAGAAATTGCAAATGCTTGAATTTCACAAGTGTTTCTACTCAGTGTTGTGTGAATACATACAGTCATAGTGGAGTATGGATATTTGTACTAGAGCCACCCAAAGCCATTTACACTGTGTTGACCTGTACTTTTTTACGTGTCCTGTATGAATAGATTTGTACATACATGTTGCTTAATAAAACACAGGGGGAAACATATGTTTCCATTATGCATAAAGTCACATGGTTGTTAATTATTATTATTGCATTTACCATCATAAATATATCATCAACCTTTCATGGTATTTCATACTGTAAAGCCAAGTGTGAGGAAATATCCTAATTACTTCTTTCAGTCCAGTTTATAGCAAACAGTGCTGGCTCTGGCTTTTGATACACGGTGACAGTAGTGTTTGGGTTGATGCATCTTTTTTTGCCACTTAACAAGGTATTTATCGTGAATAGTACAGTATTCTTCAGCACTGTATATACAGAAACACATTGCATGTTGCATTCTTTAGATAGAGATGTAGTTTAATAACAAACATCAGCTTCCTGTATAGAGATGAACTGCAGCGTGCACGCTGATGTCTGGTAAAAATCAAATCAAAGCTTTCTCAACTTATCAGAATACAATATAATGTTGGTATATGAAGCATCATGTTATTGTTGGCAGGCAGACAGGAAGGCTTTAAACGGCAGAATCACATTTTCTCAACTATTTATTAAAACTGTGCATGTTGCTTCCTAATGCATATTTAATCTACTGTTAGCGATGGTGGACAAAATCTACAGTCCTCATTTTATTCAAAAGCTTTTCCTAAACCTGAGCTTAATTCTAACATGAGACTTCTTATTCCAAGTTAAACGAGGAAGATGTCCTCCAACCTCAGTCTTTTCAGAATAAAATTCCTTCTTAAGTGATTGCTCAGTCTTTTCTTGCTGAGCTGCAGCAGATGAACAGAACCACAAAGAGAGACTTCTGTACTAAACATACTGCACCTGTCCAAGTTACAGTACCTACTGTACCTGATTTGTCTAACTCAGGCTGCTGAAGCCTCATATTAGCCTTTGCTGAGTAGAATGCATTTAAGCACAGAACAAAACTTTCTATTGTCATTCATTCTTTTCACAGACTTTACAACATGGACTCTAACAGCTATTATGTGACACGCTAAACATGCCAATGCTAATTAAACTCTACACTGAATATTTTTACTTGTTTGAGGCAAAAAAGATATGAGCTATTTCTTCTAAAAATATTTTATTACAGTTAATATAACATTAATAAACATAAACCTGTACATGCTATAACATTATAACATGTTACACTGCTAACTGGAGAGTTCCTGCCTCAAGTGGAGGAGTTCAAGTATCTTGGGGTCTTGTTCAC